TACACAGACACACATACACAAAATAATAATAAAAAAATTTTAAAAAAATTAGTAACTTGTGATATGCAGACGACACAAATTTGCTAGCTGAAAGAGAAGAGGATTTGATACCATCACTGTAAATTATAACTGAATGCAAAGAAAACCGAAGTGCCCACAACAGGACCAATAAGCAACATCACAATAAATGCTGAAAATACTTTCAAGGATTTTATTTAACCTGTCTCCACGTTCAAGGCCCAAGTGAAAGAGTAGTCAAGAACTCAAACTATGTATACGAACTTTGCAAATAAACCACCAGTATAAAATAAAAGGAAAAAAAAATCAGACAATGTAAATTCTCACTTATGGCCATGGTTAAGTTCCAAATACCAGGTCACCATGGGAAAGTGGAGGACAACGATCTCATTATCCAACTGCCAAATTACTTCCTTACATGCTGCCAAGTTAGACAATTGCATAACAGCCAAGCCATTGAAAATCCTGGGCTAGCCAACGTGATGCATAACCTGTGACACCATAGAAAGCAGTGACTCTTGCCTCAAACAATCATGTTCAATCCCACCAGATGTATGTACGTTATTGATGCAAAGAAACAGTGTAACAGTAGATTTTTACTATTTTTATAAATGTGGAATATATGAGATAACAAGATAAATGAGAAGTGAGGATTATTATGTCTAGTTCATGAGTTCAATCTGGTGCAAAAGACCTCTTTAAAATGCTAAAAAAGCAGAGGTGCTACCCACACCTGGCCAAAGCCTTAGTCTTTTCAAATGCCTGATATGCATGCAAAAGCTTAACAATGAATGAAGGAGACAAAAGAAGGAGTTATGCAAGTGAATTATGATGCTGGGAAGAACACAGAACACATTATGGTTGGTGAGGAAAAAAAAAGAACAAATCTATCTTGAATGAAGTACACACACACACACACAGAGAGAGAGAGCTCTGTAGAAGAGAGGAGGTGACTCCTGAGCTCACATCCACCGGACATGTTATCAGGAGGGACCAGTCAAAGGCCATCATGCTGGCCAAAACGGAGGTCAATGGGAAGAAGGATGACCTCCAATGTGACAGGCTGACACAGCTGGAGATGGTGATATTAGATCCAAACAGTGTTTTACTCTGTTAGACATAAGTTTGCGATGAGTGGGAACGATTTCGACTGGACCTTACAACAACAAGTACTTTTTTCCACACTGTTTGATCCAACAAAGGATGGCGTAAATATTAATTGTCTTGTCTTTAATCCATATAAACCACCTGGCCTGGCTGGGTATTATTATTACGGCCACAGTTGCTCTTTCACTTGCTATTAATGGGCTATTATCTAATGTGCAGGGCTTGGGCATATGGAGGTCATTGCTAATTATGTGCTATTACAATTAGGATTGCCAGATGTAGCAAATAAAAATATAAAGTACTCTCAGTTAAATTTTAATTTCATATAAACAGTGAGTAATATTTTAGTATGCACAACCCCACTGCTCCGTAGTCAGCTCCAACTCAAAACTCCCCTTCACAGGGCCTCCGAAGCTACACAGCTTTATGAAAGGACTGCCCATCTTTCTCCCACGGAGCAGATTTGAACGGACGGATCTGAACTGCTGACTTCAGCTGTGGGGTGGTTCTAACTCGATGGCACATAACAATAACCACACTATTGCTTTAATAAAAAATACTGGAGTTTTCCCACGTCTGATAGGTTTCTGTGTGGTCCGAGTTCCAGATTCTGTAGTCTGTGTATTGTGAAGTTGGAACCAACCTGACCGGAAGTAACTGACCCTCCTGAGGGTTTTGAAAGATGGTTAATTCCACAGAAGGAGACTGGCCATCTTTCTCACAAGAAAAATAGATGACAAAGTATGACTAGGTGTTTATCTTTAACCCAGATTTAGTAGGGGTTCTGCGTTGTACCTGGAAACTCTAGGGGAAATGCCCAGACACTAGCTACCTCCTGCCCTGGATGAGAATCTCCTGGGCACCTCTTTGGGAAACTGAAGTTCCACGTATCCCTTCACATTTAATAAACTCTCTGGGTGATGGTTATGCTCCTCAGCACCTGAGAATCCTCCTTCACATCCATAACTATGTAAGTGTGGAAAAAGACCACTAAAGACATAACAGAAAGAAATTTTTTAAATGAAGATTTTAAGTCAGTCTAGAGACTAAGATGTGCTAGAACAGTCTTCATAATCACTTGCTATGCATCAGAGAGCTGGGCAATGACTGAGGGTGACAGATGAACTGATGCCTTTGAGTTGTGGTGCTGGAGAAGAGTCTTGAACATGCCAGCGACTGCAAGGAGAAGGAACTGGTTTGTCCTGGAGAGGATGAAACCAGGTTGTTCCTTAGAGGCAAAGATTTTGAAGCTCCATGTCACACACTTTGGGCATGTTGCAAGGAGGGACTAGTCCTTGGAGAAGGAGATCATGCATGGAAGGGTGGAGGGACAATGCAAGAGAGGAAACCCCTGGATGAGGTGGATTGACACAGTAACTGCGGCAGTGGGGTCAGTGTGTCAGAGACAATGAGATTGGTTCAGGATAGAGCAGGTTCAGAACTACTGTGAGTCACAGTCCACTGGACAAGACACAACAACAAGAGTTAGAATTGTGGTAGCATAACCTTCAGAAAAATTAAACACATTTGGCCAAAAATAAATAAATAAAAACCCAAAATAAATGCTGTGGCCCACAGTGTGTGTGTGGGGTGCATGAAAATGCCACGATAAATGACAAAATTCACTGAGTAATGACAGGAGTGCAGAGCGAGGGCTGCACAATGAAGTGGACTTGGGGTAAGGGATTGTGAAACAATGAAAGAATTTTTCTTTTCCTTTTCAAAGAGAAGAGCGAACTAGGGAGGGGGAGGTTGGGCAGGGAGAAAACTGCAACAATGAATGAATGGAAATCCAAAGTCTCCGTAAATGTTCATTACAATTAATTAAAAAATATTTAAAAAAAATTCACTGAGTAATGTTCAGCCTGAAGGGTTACTAAGCAAAACCAAAAACAGTCCACCGTAGGAGTGACGTCAAAGGTCTGTGTCCGTGGGTAAAAGCAGCCTGGGACCACCGTGCCTCTGCCCCACCTGGAGGTCACCTGTTCAAAGCATGGCTGGTGATCACTGATCATCTTTCAGACTCACCTTTGTGCTGCACATACGGCCTGTAGCGTGAGCCAGCGTAATTACCACCGAGGCGTGAATCTCAGTCATTAAGATAAATACTGACTAATTTGGATGCTTACCAGACCCTCTCTTACATGCAGCCCCTCTGGGGTTTACAAAACTTAACTGCCAAATGTGAAAGGAATGGCCTTCTTGGGAGGAATTTGTTACTTCTCGATTTGTCTAGCAGAATTGCCAAGAGACCATGGCTCAGAGCACTTCGAGTTCTGGGCATTTAATCCTGTGTACCTCCTGATGCCAGAGTACCCATAAATCTAGATAGTAAGTGAGGTGCAAAGAGCAGGGGAGAATCCCCAGGGAGAAGCCACACTGCATTCTCTCCACCAGGAACGTCATTAATCGGCGGGATCTGGCTCACCTTCCCGCCCCATCTCACCACCCTCGAAGTACGAGCAAAAAGAACCTGAAATCAACTTGAAGCAGATTGCAAACGCCAACCCTCCAGAGTGAGACACGTAGTATGACAGCAGCCAGGTACAAACTGCCAGAAGTGTGGACACCACAGGGGCCAGCCCGGCTCAGCTCAGTGCAGGCCCCCCACAGGAATGCCCACCATTCTGGCTTCCCTTCTATTTTTCACCAAGAAAATGAGTTTTCTGATTTTCCTATAAAATGGCCTGATTTGTACATGCTTCCGAATAATTGAAAAATTGTCAAAACCAGTATGCCAGACAATATAAAAACGTAAAAGCCCTTCCCAGAACCTAATCTGGGAGCACTGGCCGGAAATAAAATGCGACAGAAGGTCGGGCTGTTTGCCTTCTAATTCAGCGAGTTAAGGAGAAGATCCCAGCCTTTCAATGAAAGAGGTCACATCATTTGGAAAACTGTTAGAAAAATAGTTTATAAACAGATACATAGAATCATAGATAAATAGATAAACAGACTGATAGGTAGATAAATAGATAGAGATTAGCTATGGCTATATTGATAGGTAGGTAGGTAGGTAGAAAGAGAGAGATAGACAGACAGACTGATAGGTAGATGGGTAGACAGACAGGCAGATAGAATGATAGGTATGTGGACCAATAAACATAGATAGACAGACAGACTGACTGACAGGCAGGTACACAGCTCTATATATAAATAGATGGATGAAAGAATATCTAAACTAGAGTAATTGGACAATTAAAGGAAATCATCAATGACACACACACATACACAATGCTAAGGCAAAAGGGAAAGCAGATTTTAGTATCTATTAAAGAGGTAGGCTTGCAGTGCTGAGAAATAATAACAAAAACAATAAAGTTCAAAGGTAGAAATCTCTTTGGTGACATTTTCCGGCCTTGGGAACAACAGCGTGGGTCAGTGGCTGCACTCCCAGTAGGACTTGCTCAGGGGTCACACGTGAAATTGCCTCCAAGACTCTTGAGACTCTGAGGCACCAGGCTGCCACACACTGAATTTTCTCTCCCAGTTTCCTCCCTAGAGACCCAGGCTCCTGGGATGAGTACGTGAGCTCAGACCCCAGTCCCTGGGAAACAGGGTGGGAGTGAGAGGGGGGCCACATGCATCCAGACCTTCCCAAGGTGGAAAGACATGCCCTATGTGTACACTCGGACATGATCCACAAGTGGGCAGATACGGACAGAGACCCAGTAAGGGCAAACTCAGATAGATACCAGGGGAGGCATGGTCCAGACCTCAGGCACCTCCTGGTGAACCAAGCAGGTCTGCACAGCCCGAGTCCAAAGAGACTTGGAATCCAGTTAGAAGGGGGCTCTTGGGTTGTGTGTGGAGCTTTTCCAGGCCACCCACTCACAACACACTGCCCTATGCCCCTGCCACTGGCTGCTCCTTACCGTCTGTGAGGGTCTGGAAGCACATCTTTCCGCTGAACTTGCCGTAACCGGCCACGGTGCGTGCGCGCACCTGCACCACGTACACCATGCCTGGCCTCAGGCCGTCGATCCGAGCAGTGTTCGTCTGGCTCCTGGCCATGGATGAGTTGAACTCGTTGTGTTCCTTCAAGAGAGCAGGGACAGAGAGGGTCACCAGCCCATTTCTGAGTGCTTCCTGCCAGCCCGTTCTGCCCTGGCCAGTTCTTGGTCTTGTGAGTGGTGCTGGAAGACAACACAGCCTCAACTCTAAGTGAGGCCAGAGTCTACGCTGGACTAAAGGAACATGGAAGACACTCTGGCCTAGGGGGTGGCTGTTCCAAAGACACGGGTCTGAAGAAATGGCTGGGTTCTCAAGACCTCACATGACTCAGAGTCATTTTAATCGTCTTTGTTGTTTAGAGGTGGAATAACACAGCACATCCAACTTCGCAAAATTCTTTCAAAATCCAGCCTATGACCTCAGTAGAAACAAACTGAGCATCTCTGGCCTTCTATCTGCCCTCCTTGTCTCCCATCTCCTGAGCCCTCTTATTCTCCTCATTCACAATAATGCTCACAGAGACTGTTTTCCATCCCTTCTTAAGTCCCTCCATGCCTCAGACAAATGGCTTTGTTGTGCTCTGCTGAGGAGGCTGACACCATTCTGGAACACCCTGTCTCCTGCTGCCTTCACCCTGGTCAGCTATGTTTATTGCTGGAATCCACTCTTCCAGCATCCAAGAAGGATGTGTCCCATTCTCTGGAGAGCAAGTCTTCACCCTTCCCACCTACACACTCAGGTCGGCCCCACCTCCTGCTGGCGGCCCTCTCTCTAGCACTTTCTGCCTTGCCCTCTGCAGGCGCTGTTGTCTGCATATGAGTGTTCCTGGATTGCACACAACATTCTTGTTTTTATTTTCCTCCCATGACCTCTCCATCTACCAGGGCCCTTGGTAGGTTTCTTCCTCTTTGCTGTTGAGTTCACTAAACAGATGGTTGACTTTTGGACAACCTGTGTAGCTTTGGATCTTGTCTGCTGCTCTCACTACAAGTAACTGTTTTTCTAAGAACGATTCTGCTCTTTCTTAAAACTGTTATCAGATAGAGAAAAATTCCTAATGAGGTTGAGAAATATAATGGAATCCACAGCAAACAACTTCCCATGCACTCTTCTCCCGATCCCACAGCCTAGCTGCCTTTCTGGTAATACCTTCTTAATCATCTGGAAACTTCTTCATCCTCAGTCATTCGCTTAGATATTTTCTCAATCTCTCAGTCTCTCAGTCTCTCTCTCTCAAGCCTGAATCTCATACAACAAGATCTCCTCTTTGAGGGTGGCCAACCTCTTGACTTTGACCCATGAGAATTTCTTTTTGATTTCTTTCCATTACATCTCACCCTTGGCCTTTTCTTATGTGTCAGCCTAGTGGCTAATTATTTTCATTTATTTTTTCTCTAGATAGATTCTGGGTTGGCACCAAGTGTGCAGAAACTGGAGTTTAGATTCTGGGCCTACCCCTGTCTATATCGTGAATGACAGGAGCAAAACGGCCTTACAAAATGAAATGAAGAACTCGTTAAGGCATTGGGAGGGAGACCCCAAGTCATCTGGGCATGTCAGGAGGACTGTGATAACCCCTCAAGGAGCCTGCGAGCGGCAAGGAGAGGATTATGAGAGGTCTATAAGGCACGGTCCCAGTCAAATGATGAGAGCCAGTTGGGAAGCTGAGCTTGGAGGAAAGAGTGCAGTAAAGACAAAGAACTCATAGCCGTCTGGTACCGTCTAGATAATTGATTCACAACATCCCACGGACAGAGTAGAGCTGTCCCTCCCACAGGACTTTCTAGGCTATTCTCTTTAAAGACTAAGGTACACCCCATTCAGGTCATGGTCATTTCCATCACTATGCATCTGAAAGCTGTACAATGAATAAAGATAACAGAAGAATTAATGCTTTGGGGTTGTGGTGTTGGAGAAGCATAAGGAACATCCCATGAACTAGTGAAAGAACAGATATGTCTTGGAGAAAGTGCTGCCAGAGTGCTCCTTGGAGGCAAGGACGGTGAAGCTTTGCCTTACACACTTTAAGGCATGTTGCTGTTGTTATGTGCTGTCGACTTGCCTGCGACTCATAGCGACCCTATGTACAACAGCCCTAAACCCTGCTCTATCCTGTGCCAATCTTATTGTCTCGGGCACACCTGTCCCCACTACCCCAGTGACGGAATCTGTACATCTCATCGAGGGTCTTCCTCTCTTGTACCGTGGGGCTGATCCTTGGAAAGGGACATCATGATTAGAAAGGCGGAGAGTAAGCAAAAGAGTGGAAGACCCTTCATTAAATAGACCGACGCAGTGACTGCAGCAATGGGCTTCAGTGAGTCAGAGATGATGAAGACGGCCCAGGACAGGCCAGGGTTCAGATCTGCTGTTCACAGGGTCACCATGAGTTATACTTGACTTGAAGACACATAACAAAAAAAAGATTTTGTCTTTACAATATTTGTTGTTGTTGTGTACTGTTGAATTGGAAGCAACACGTAGCTGACCCAGCGGGTTCTCAGAGGCAGTTAATCACACGGGAGGAGAGTCCTCATTCTCCCGTGAAACAGCTGGTGGCCTTGAACCGCATGCCCTCAGGATTGCAGCAGACTAGGCCACCAGAGACAACAGCAAATCAACTGGCTTTCTATGTAAGGGGGCTTGAACTACCAACCTTTCAGTTAGCGACTGAGTACTTAACCACGACACAATCTAGACTCCTTGATGAGGTGTTACCTTTGTTTTGAAATGCATACAAGTTCTTTAAAGGTAAGGATGAACTGGAATAGATTATTTCATTCAGTCTGTGGGCAATCACTTTACAAAGCCCCTTCCATGTGCTAGACACCCAGTGTGAGGGCACAGAGGCGTGATTCCTTTGGGAAGGGAACACCGCGGGGTGAGCTGGGATAGGAACAGATGATGACAGTAGTAGAGACTGAACAACGACTTGGAAGCGGACAGAGCAGAGCAGCCGTGCTGAGCACCTCCCAGTGCAGACTGGGGAGGAGACTGCGGGCGGGTTCAGAGAGCAGTGACATGAGTGGAATGATGAGTGATGATGGGAATTAGTAACATAGATGGGGAGTGGAAATTGAATAAAACATGCAAAATGCAAGGTCTAAAGGCACTCCACATCCTGCGAGTAATTGGGCATATGTAGGGTGTGGGTGGGACCGGGGACAGTGATGAATGACTCTGAAATAGTTCCACAGGGCCACAGGTTTGCAGAGAGCTCTGACTACAGCTAACAGCTACTGAGAGTTTACGCTTAGCCTAACGCAGGGTGGTAGACCATCTTATTCTGGGAGAGTCTAACCTGGGAGGGGCTGTGGCAAGCACCCTCCGCTCTTTGGATTTGTTTAATGGGAGGTGTACTCCCTGCCCTCAATCTGCTGAACTAAGGAAGGCTGCCCACCACAGAAAAGAAGCCATGTAGAACCCTGATTGTTACTTTCTCAATCACATTGAAAATGTGAGTTCTTAAAAGTCTGAAAATGACATCCTTACCTTCCTATCAAGACACTACCCTGTGGTCCAAACCCAAGCAGCCCTGGGCTGCCAACTGGCAACTGAAACTCAGCATCCCCTACTCGGGAGAAAGATGGTGGAAGTGACTTTACCACCGGAGAGTTCTGTTTTGTTTGTTGTTGTTGTTCTTATTATGTGCCGTCAAATCACCTGCGACTCATAGCGACCCTATGTACAACAGCCCTAAACTCTGCTCTGTCCTGTGCCAATCGCACTGTCTCCTATACACCCATCCCGATTACCCAAGTCACTTAATCAAACCACCTCATAGAGGGCCTTCCCCTCCTGCGCTGTCCCTCCACCCTACCAAATACGATGTTCCTCTCCAAGGACCGGTCCCTCCTTGCAACATGTTCAAAGTATGTCAGACGGAGGCTCAGAATCCTTGCCTCCAAGGAGCCGCCCGGTTTAACCCTCTCCAGGATGAATCTGTTTGTTTTTCTGGCAGGCCATGGTACCCTCAATACTCTTCTCCAGCACCACAGTTCAAATGCATCAATTCTCCTTCTATCCTCCTTAGTCATTGTCCAACTCTCTGATGCATAACAAGTGTATCAGACACACCTTAGTCTCCAGAGAGACATCATTGCTCTTCAGTACTTTGGAGAGGTCCTTGACAGCCGACTTTCCCATGGCAATACGTCTTTTAATTTCCTGGCAACTGATGCCGAGAGTGTTGACTGTGGAGCCACGCAAACTAAAGTTGTTAACAATCTCAATCTCTTCACCATCCATCCTGATGCTGCCAATTGGTCCAGTGGTGAGAATCTTTGTCTTCTTGACATTGAGCCTCAATCCATACCGAAGGCTACAGTCCTTGACCTTCTGCAGCAAGTGCTTCAGGTCCTCCTCAACAAGCAGGGTTGTGTCATCTGCATAATGCAGATTGTTGATAGATCTTCTACCAATCTTGACCCCACAATTACTGTGTTTTAATTGGGCTGTTATTTTTCTGGAATCTGATGGAATTATGTTGTTGTTGGCATTGTGTACCACCATCAAGCTGGAACTGACTTGGTGCCAAATCATCAGTGGATTTTTCAGAGGCTGTTTATCACAGGGAAGGAGACTATTCATCTCTCTTCCAAGGAGCAGCTGGCGGATTTGAACTCACGTGTCTTTGGGTTGATAGTCCAAACTCCTTCCCACTAAACGACCAAAGACGCTGCTTAAGTTAAGTGAAGCAAGGGCTGGGCAGCATTTTTATGGAAGAGGAGGAAAAAAAATTTTTTTAACGCATTAATATTTGGATGGTGATGATGGAACATTAACCCATAATTACTTTAGCATCTACACTTTCTTCAAGGAGATAAGCAATTAAGGTGAATGTAGGACCTGGGGGCCCACTGATTCATTAATCAACTCCAGGCGTATAAGTGAGAGCAATGGGCAAGATTGCATCTTTTTGTGTGAACGCGTGCCATTTATAACCAGTTTAATAAATGTTTGGGAGACAGAGGACATAGCTATCTCGAGGACAGAATCACATATTTCTTAATTCTCCATTGTGAACATGTAGCGCTGGGCAGGAACTGCCCGGGTGCCCACAGAGCCGGTGTTAAATGAAGGAC